TTTTTTTTTTTTTTTTTTTTTTTTTTTTTTTTGTAGGAGGAGAGGGCGCTCTCTGTTACTTCCTAGTTGTTCTGGTCCTCTTGTAGTTCAGTGTCTGCAATCTTTACCTCAATCGAATACCTGATCTGTACCTCTTAAACCACCAGTACTTGGGCCCCGCTTGGGGAAAAAAAAAAAATGCAGCTCGTTTACGGGCGCACCTTTCGGGGGCCGGCGTGCTGTCAATCATTTTCATCAATGCCTGCGTCGCATTTCGGGCCTCCGAAACTCGCGGTGAGGGGCCCGCGGCCGATGTACGGGCCAAGTACTGGTGGTTTGAGTTCTGCTCGTCCTAACATAACAATATCCAATGTTTGCCTACGGTCGTCCCCCGAATGTATCGCACCCTGAAAGTATCGCACCCTGATTGTGAATTTATACAAGCCACCTTTCCAGTCCAGTGCAGTCATGATGAGGGTGCGTTGTGTTCGGGGGAAGACGGTAGGCTCTTTCTGTTCTATTCTCAGACACCGGATGGCCAATCTTTACCTCTGACGTCTGCTGATCCCAGGATGACCAGGTACAAGGTATGTATGTGGACCATGTGCCATCGGAGTGTACTTTGATGCTAAAAAGGACTAAATGCAGGTTAACGTTGTCTGGGTTTGTCACTTGCATGTTGTGATCAATTTATGCGCGGTCAGTCTGGGGACGTATGCGGATCTTCATTTGCAGGCCTGCAGTGTCGTTGGGTCAGGCCGGAGCACATCGCTGATTGCTCATTCATTGTATTCCGCCTCCGCGGCGGATTTGATCGTATCCCAACAGGTTTCATCTAGTTTCATATGGGTTCGAACTCAGGTCTCCATTTCAAAAGTTTGTTTATGGGTGTGTACCGACTGAGCGAGGCCCATTGGTACCCCAGCAGGTTACTTCTTCATTTAGAGCTGCAGTTTGAAGGGGGGCCAAGCGACAGAGCCTGGGGGTGCCAAATTGCCAAATTGTCCTCGAAGACTGGAACGTGGATGCCAAATTGCCGAATTGTCCTCAAGGACCGGGGAAGCGACAGAGGCTGTGGAGTGTGAAGGAGGGAGTGTGGATGCCAAATTGCCAAATTGTCCTCGAGGAGTCAAACGTCGTGCAAAAGTACGAAGTCGCCCATCTGCCTCCCGTTCTCTGTCTCAGAATAAGATGTAAGCTGGCCGGCTGAGAGGAGCACAGCTCGGAAAAGAAAAGGCGGCCGACATTCACGCTCGTTTCTAGGCACCATAGCCGCCGGATTAAGTACCGCTTTCTTTCTCAAGGACACTATGGGAAGACGAAGGCTGAGCGAGCAAGATTCCACCTGGACTTTCGCCGCATGCGCCAGGTGGCACTTGCGTAGGAGGCCTGCGCCTTCTAGGACATGCATGGCGGTCGCTGTTGCTGCCGTTATGCTACTCTCTGTGTCAACGTGCTGCGTTTCCGCTGGTGCTGGTTCGGCAAAGGAACGTTCCACAAGCAGTAGCCGTGGGAGTGATGGTACAACCGCGGAAAGCGATGGATTGCACTTGAAAGCGGAGGAACCGTACAGTGAGGAGGATAAGACGATAAGGAGGCCGGAGTCGTGCCTCTCGCCAAATGTACGACAAATGAACATCGAGTATGGTGAAGCGTTGCTGAGGGAGATCCCTTGCGGCGCCGTGTACATGGGTTTGCTCGACAAGGATGTTGCGTTTCAAGATGGGAGCATTTCGAGCTTGCGAAACTTTTCGCCGCTGCTGGTGTACTCCAGAGAAGATAGTGGGAGTGGGTATCTGGTGCATCGCTGGACCCAACGGCGGACCTGCACGTTGCCCCAAGCATTAGCGTCATTTTTCTCTGGAGTGAAAGGGATAAAGAAGGAGCCCCGTGCGCTTCTGGCATCGTCTGCTCGGTCCGTCTCCATCATGCATGGCGGCGTTGAAGTCACACGCCGGCTTCTCATGAACAAACTTCGATTGGTTGAGCATCGGCGTAATGTTGATGTCGTCTTTAGCGTGGAGCCCGTGGGGCGTCGGTTCGACCACTGGTCCGATGCAGGTCTTATCCTTCGGCTGCTGGAGGGGCAACAAGCCAACACGACTAGTGGTGGTAAGGACCGGTACGATTGGTTAATCTGGATAAACAACGGTGTGTTGGTGTTGGATCTTGATCTGGACCTTCTGCTTCATGAATACGACGAAGGACCGCACGATCTCGTCGTGGTTGGGAAGGAAGACCAGGTCTTTAGCGATCGTGGGGAGAAGGTAAACGCGACGGCGCTTAGTGCAAGGATTATGTTCCTTAGGACGACTCCTTGGTCCCTGGAACTTCTTCGCACATTATTGGACCTCGGCGACAACGATTGGGAGAAGAAGACGTATGAGACGGTCGCGTCGCGACTGACGGGAATGCATTCAATGCTCAGCTTTGACTCTGTGCTTCTCTATCTTCTGAATGCGGACGTAGCACCGTATCGGTGGCGCTCGAAGGTCAAGCTAGTAGAGTGTCCAGGGAGGATGAGCGGTTCGTTTCAGAAAAGGCAGCAGCTGGCGGAGTCCATGGGGGTGATGTTAATACCTTGCCAACCGTACTCTCCACTGGCTTTGTGGATTTCAGTCGCTGTGAGTTCTTTGAAGGAGAATTTGGAGGATCAGTTGGCCATTACGAGCAATGCGTCGCCGATCTCTGTAGGCTTTATGATTTCTTCATGCACTGAGCTGTTTTTTTTTTTCCCCACCCCCCTCGGGAACCGGCAATCCGGTTCCGGTTCTCACGATCGGTTAAACCACCAGCATCTCCAGGTTTTTAGGCCGTTAACGCGCTGGCTGAATCGGTGCGTCACGTGGGTCCATGTGCATTTGCGTCAGAGCCTTTCCAGAGGGGGCCTAAGACCCCCTGGGGGTGGGGTACTGGTGGTTTTAACCAAGGATAGAACAATGGTCTGTTGGTGACGAATGTGGATGTTAGACCACCTGCTTCATCAATACGATGCAGGACCGCTCGATCTAATCGCGGCCGAGACAGAAGATAAGGTCTATAGTGGTAATCAGGAGAAGGTACAGGCAGCGGCACTTAGTGCAAAGACTAAGGCTCCTTAGAGCGAGTCGTTGGTCAGCAGAACTTCTTCGCGCGGTATTGGTTGCACCTCGGTGACAAGAAACTAGTGGCTGTGTCACGGCCACAAATCCCACGCCACTCCACGTGCCCGCGCTCAGTCAGCGCAATCCACTAGCATGACGGAAGGTACGGTCCCGATCCTCGCTGGCTGCATACGCAGGCGAACGGCGAGCCAGCAAGGCTGTGTTGTGCATTGTCGTGTTCGCTATTCACACAACTCCAAACGAAAAGCGTGACTGTGGCAGAGACTGTTTTGTAACTGTTTTGTCCGACTTTCTCCGACTCGTCAGGAGACGGAGCTCGAGGAAAGTGTGTGACTCGTCAGGAGGCGGAGCTCGAGGAAAGTGTGTGACTCGTCAGGAGGCGGAGCTCGAGGAAAGTGTGTGCCCAGGATGCATTTGACTGATGGATAAGGATATTACCCAGAGTTTAAAAAAAAAAGAAGAAAAAAAAGCGATACCCTTGAGAAGTTGAGACAGAAAAATGGTAGACTTCCACGCAGAGTCTCAGACCAACCCCCAACGCCCGGGTACTAGTAGTGTCTGCTTGTACCAGCGCTACTACCAATAGAACGCGCGGTCATTATAGCTGTATCTGGACTGGAAATTGCAACAAATACGGCTGTAACGACTGGGCGTTCTATTCGAGTGAAGAAGGTAGTGCAGGAGGGTGTTTTCATTAAAAAAAAAAAGTCTCAGACAAACAAACCCTGCAATCCTAGCAGGCTGTCGGTGCTGTATACCCCTGACAAGAACGGCAGTTGTTAGCAAAAGTGAGATCAAGAGCATCAGTCCACTCCACAGCATTCCAAATGTATCTGTACCTGGTTATGGTCCCAATTACGTTCAAATATGCTTGATCAGTGCAAATGTATCTGGTCCGTGACACAGTCCGTGTACGTCTCCAATGTCGAGTAGTAGAACAAAGCCCCTAATCATTTTTCAGAACTTGCTGGTTATGTTTCAACATGTTGACGTTGTCGTCAGCTTTGCTAACAACAGTCACGGCTCGTCTCAGCTGCCTGTTCTCTTCTCTTCTTCTTCTTCTTCTTTTTTTTTTTTTTTTTTTTTTTTTTTTTTTTCAGCTTCTCCACCTCGATGTTTCTTGCCCTCCCAGACTTTTCATGTATAGAAAAAAAAAAAAAAAAAAAGTTATACTTCTCCTCCTTGTCCTCTGCTCCTGGGGTGTGGTCCCACTAGCAAAGAGGATCGGGTCGAATGCCTGAATCTGGACGAGTTTATGGAGATGTGCAGGAAATCGATATTGAACTGCTTTTCTGCATCTCTGCATAAAACACGTCCACATTCAGACATTCGATCCGATCCTCTTTGCTAATGGGACCTCGGCCCTGACTTCTTCTTCATTTCGTCGTCCTAATTCTCGTGCATTGTCGGCTCACCCTCTCCTCATCGTCAAGTTTGGATCATCCCGTTTGCGTACAAGGATGATGTCACATATTTGCACCATGTTCATGTCTTTTTTTTTTTTTTTTTGAAATCGGGTAGCTCCTCACCTTATTGTGTTAATCTGGTTGCATCGGGACTTGAACCCGTGATCTGTTTGATGACAGGTGCATGCGTGTACTGATCGCCCTCATGGTCTGGGGGGAGTATTTGCACCATGTTCATTCTGAGTGGGGTAGCAGTAGAAGGACTGAGTTACCTGACGAGAAGTCGAGGGGTTGTTGAAATATTTCAATTTTCAATTTTCTGCAATTAAATTGTTTTTTTTTTTTTTTTTTTTTTTTTTTTTTTTTTTTTGAACTGCACAATTTTCTCCTCTCAAATTCTTTTTTTTTCCGTTAATTTTGACGAAATGACAGTTTAATTTGAAACTTGTTTTTTTTTTGGCATGATGAAAATTCCTGTAATAGATATTTCTTTTAACCAGTGGTTGAGTGCAAAAGTTTTAAACTTTCGTGAATGAGCATATTACATCCCACGGACGCCGTATGTTATGTTGAGCATACATCGTCCTCATTTTAAATGCTCTTAAGACAGCCGCTTGGATGTATCTAGTCGGTTTTACAGCCACATGAGCATATGCTCATTGGAGGATGATAGAGCCACATGCAGTAACCCTGTTCAGAAGTAGCCTGGGGCCCAGAACTCAGCTGCAGACAACGCAGACCTGAGTTGGTCTGCGCTGGGCTATGTGACCAAGACACGCCCAGGCCTGAGTCTGTCACATTTGGCTGTGTGACCTAACGCTGCACACAGGAGATTCAAAGGCCAAAGTCAACTGTAGAGTCGAAGGTACCGCATCCCAGGCCCTTGGTTGGATACACTCACTTGTTGTGCGCAGGTACCCCCCAGACAGAATCCAGACCGGAGGGAAGTCGGTTTCAGGCCAATCTGGGCCCTCGTTTGCATTGAGATCTGGATGGCTGAGAGATGCAGCATCCGGGGTCCAGACCCAGCGTCAACACTACATAAGCGCTGACTTCCTGGCTTTGACATTCATTCAGTCTTCTGTCAATGCTGACTTCACGCGTTGACGACGCGACGCTGGCTCGACGCTGCGACGCTGGTGGACGCTGGCTTTGTGCTGGCATTTGTGAGATTGCGGCAATGCACTGCTAGCTTGGCATGGTGGCTGGCTGGCTATTGTCTTCAAGGCATGCTGACGTGGCAGCTGCCACGCGTTGCTGCTGACATGGCTGCTGCCACGTGTTCTATTGGCTGACGTGGCCGGACTACGTGACCGGTATTGCTGTCCTGATTCATCGTCACTCAGGAGGAGATCATGACTGTGGGGTAATCGTGGATACGTGCCTTATCATCTTGAGGTCGACATTGCTCCAGTGCGCTGATGAGGACTTACTGACGTGCCACGTGGCACATTGTAGTAGGACTTCGGATATGCGTTCAGACTATTGATTATTGAGTTGGTGATCGAGGAGGGAGCCAGAAGCAGGAGTGGGCCTGGTATCCCTCTCCTTTGTCTAATCTCCCTCCTCTCTCTTTCGTCTGTGTATGATTATCCCATCTCATTCTTTCTGGACACGATACTGATTATTGATAACCATCAGTGAGTTGACATTCATCTGGGCTTGCATTGTCGACAAGTGTCTTCACGATCTGGGTTCATTGCACACAACACTCTTCCATCGTCACATGCTACATCATCGTGTGACATCATGAGAGAGAGAGAGAGAGAGAGAGAGAGAGAGAGAGAGAGAGAGAGAGAGAGAGAGA